AATTAAACTCAAAGACCAGCTCCTTGTTCTATTACTGTAGTCGATTAAGTTTGGTTAATTGGAATGAAGCAAGCAAATCTTCATAAATTAAACTGCCATAAATTTTATTCAATCCAAGTTACCAATTAATGCATTGTTCTTTTATTTGGTTTCATTAACATTTAATTATGATTATTAAAAAGTTCAAAAGGCTTTCATTCCCCACTGATTGTATGTCAGGAGATAAGCTTCCATGAAGTTAATGCAGAATGTACTGCTACTTGTACTACTGCATGGGCAGCCTAAACCTAACTCAAACTGTGCCAGTGCTGGAGGTCAAGATTTGGCAGCAAAAATTCCCTTTGGCCATGCAATCTTCTTTCCGTTTCTCAGAGATCTGCTGAAAGAACAATTTCCATCCCTCTGAGATCTCCAGCAGCACTGGGGTGGCTGGAGAGTTCAATGAGCTCAATGCCCTATTAGGTGAGGACAGTCCAGAGTCTGGAACGTCACAATTGAAAATTAATTCATTAATGTTAAATATTACTAATCATGTGATTAATTTGTTGTTGTTGACATTAGGAAACAAAATAGCTTAATTGATCTACTCAGCATTAATTAGTTCCTTTATTACCTCCTTAGTCTTTACATAGTGGGATCTATATGAAATGGAATGCAAGATGTCAGCATGTGTTACTAGCTCCTTTGAAGTTGTTTCTATTTCCCAGTCTGGCAGGGTTTTTTTCCAGATGGAGTACAAATCTCATAGAAAGTATGTTGGCTGGGATCAACATCCCAGAAAATTGTAATATTGGGGAAGGCTTCCTGTCCTTAAAGCATGGCCTCTAATATTACAATCTAATCAACAGCCTCTTTCTCTCTCTCTCTCTCATTTTGTATTTTTTTTTTTGAAAAAATGTATCAATTTATTGTGTACTCAGTGGATTCATTTTGTTTTTTTTAAATGTATCAATTTATTGTGTACTCAGTGGTGTAAGCATCTGACTGCAGAGCCAGAGGTTGGAAGTTCGATTCCACACTGTGAGTCCTATGAATACAGTTAGCCTATGTGGCCTTGGGCAAGGGGCACAGCCCCAGAAGAAAGAAATGGTAAACCACTTCTGAGTACTCTCTCCCTGGAAAACCCTGAAAAGAGTTGCCATAAGTGAGAATTGACTTGGCATCACATGATTATTATTATTATAAGGCACATGGAAATATTTTATAAATATAATGCCCTATAAATACAATACCACACAATGGGATCGACTGGATAACAAACAAGAAGCACAGCATGAAAATACACATGAAAATATTACCTGAAAAGGTCATATTTTAAACTCACAAACAGATATGAAGTAACCATGAACTAAAATTCCTAGAGCTATTTGAACTGAAGAAACCACCAGAAGACAATATTAATAGCTACTTAGGTTCTAAATTGAACCTGTACTCTGCACAGTATATGCACTAAGGAAGAATCAACCTTATTGTTACATGTCTTTGTTTTCTATTTTCTGTCTGTCTCTTGGTCCTGAAAGGTGGAGTTGCTGGGTAAGCAAAGGATTCTTTATAGATATAGAAACTTCTCTGCTAAAGCATCTGGGAAGAATGATTTACTGGCACTGACGTCCTACTCATGTTACCTAGGACTAAGAGCCACAGAACTCAGTGGGACCTCCTTCTGAGTAAATGTGCATATTTTTGTGGTGCAGTGTTTTCTAAAATGCAAAATTAAGAAACAGGCAGGGGTAGGACATATGTTTTGTCCTCCTCCTGCAAAATCAAGATATAGGCTAGTATCCTGTTGAACAGCTGTGCTAATGTAGCGAGAGTGACATCATTGGCAATATCAGATTCCTGTTTATTAAATAGACCCTGCTTTGATTCTGCACACAACTGGTACACAAGAAGTTGCACAAAACCCAACTTCAAAGCAGGAACTCTTTAATTGGCCACTGCTGATAACATCCCTCATGCTTTGGCAACAGAAGTATCAAACAAGAGAGTGGCCATAGGAGAGGACCCAACATGTCAAGCAATCTTTAAGAATGAAGGGGAAACTACCAGTTTGTGGCTTCCTTGGCAGATGGCATAGTGATGATTAACAATGATTAATGAGGATAACTACTAAAAGTTTACTAAAAGTAACTACTGCCATTATTATGCCTGCACTGAGCAAAAGCTTAACAAATTAAATGCCAACAAACTGAAATGAATGAATTATTTCCTAGCTCTGAGATAGTCTTGCATTTGAAGGTCACCTCTATCGAAGCCTGATAAAGAAACATGAGAAGGGAGACTAGAGGCCTTGAAGTTCCCCTGCTGGACCAGATCTTCAGTGAGGATAAGCCCCACGAACCCTCTAAATTAAACAACCCTGACTCTAAGAAAAATTGCCAGATCCCACAGATCCTGGATCAATAATGCTAAACTCCTAGAAGAACACAGGTCAATGCTTGAGTCAGAGGAAAAGGCTGGACTGCTGCCTCACCCCAACCACAAGAGCATTCCTGCACATAGATACAAGCCCTAGGTGGAGCATTCTTCCCTTCCTATGTCTTATGGAAAGAACCACGAGTATTGGACTACTGCAATTTAGCTACTCGGTAAATTAGTAAGAAACTAAATAGAATGTTATACAGAGGGTTATAGGGTTGACCTCAAATGCATAGGATGCAAAGCTTTCCGGCTCTCTTGAAATGTCTCATTTTGGGTCCCTAGTCTATAGGAACCCCAAGCTGGAACAAGCATTTACTTTTTCTTTAATTATAGTAGGAGGGGAAGCTTTTTTAAAAAGCCACTATTTTTGTTGTTGTTTAGTCATTAAGTCATGTCCGACTCTTCGTGACCCCATGGACCAGAGCACGCCAGGCCCTCCTGTCTTCCACTGCCTCCCAGAGTTGGGTCAAATTCATGTTGGTAGCTTTGGTGACACTGTCCAACCATCTCATCCTCTGTCGTCCCCTTCTCCTCTTGCCTTCACTCTTTCGCAACATCAGGGGCTATTCCGGGGAGTCTTCTCATGAGATGGTCAAAGTATTGGAGCCTCAGCTTCAGGATCTGTGCTTCCAGTAAGCACTCGGGGTTGATTTCCTTCAAAATGGATAGGTTTGTTCTCTTTGCAGTCCAGGGGACTCTCAAGGGTCTCCTCCAGCACCACAACTCAAAAGCATCAGTTCTTCGGCGGTCAGCCTTCTTTATGGTCCAGCTCTCACAAAAAGCCACTATAGTGCAAAGCAAACAAAAATCCAAAATATTGCTCCTGCCATGGGCAGAAGAGCTGGGGGGGGTACTTGTAAATTAGTGGATCTATTGCTATGAATCCCTCCCTGGCAAGTCAGGATTGCTCCATTTTGTTACCATTTACATTGCTACTACTTGTGATTGCTAGTGATAGACTTCTAAAATACTTGTTGTCCGAAATTGTTACATGTTCATGAGGCAGAATGGGACAGTAACACTTCTTCACAGAAGAGAAAAAGAAACAACAGAAGGGTCCAAAACAGATAAACAGTTATACGTTGTATTGATGACACACTACTGTACAAGTGTTTCTTAAAGGAAAAATACAAACATTTGAAAAAATAAGGATAAAAATGTTAGCACACACTCACCAGTATGTGCATAAACTGTATGGGTGCTTACAGTTGTATTGGTTAGATACTACAAACAATCTTTAGAGAAATAGCATCCTGTAGCATTGGGGTGGAGGACTACTTACTGGCATAATGGTGGTAGCAGCCAACCATTTACTATACACTGCCAAATCACCAGAAACCTCAAGAATTTGAGGAAGCTGGGGAGGTTTTTTTGCTTTTTGGGTTTTTTTTTTGTAGTGAAGAAGCTACTTTAGACCATACAATTAAGAAGCTATCCCAATTGCTGTTAGAGCTTCACAAAGACAGTGGAGTCCCATTCTTAAATTGTATGTGGCATTTGTGGGATGTAAAATACTGTATATAAAATGAGTTCTAACCACAGAAACAATTAACTGCAGTGTCCTATACTGTACATTTCCTTCTACTATTTTATCAGAAACTAATACTGTAGCATATAGTGGTGCCTCGACTTATGACCGTCCTGACTTATGACCATTTTGAGTTACGACCAGCTTTGGTTGCAAAATTTTGTTTCAACTTATGACTGGAGCTTCTAGTTACAACCAGAAAAAAGGCAGGAAAAAGGCAGGGAACTCAAATTGCTAAGCATTGGTGGCAAAGAGGGAGTTTCTTTGTAGCTCTTTTGCCCCAGCGTTTAGAGTGTGTGCATTTGGAGGAGGCTTCAGACTGCCTGGTAAGGTGCTGCTTTCTGTTTTTTAAAATGGTTTCTTTGTAGCTCTTTTGCCCCAGCGGTTAGAGCGTGTGCATTTGGAGGAGGCTTCGGACTGCCTAGTAAGATGCTGCTTTCTGCTTTTTAAAAAACTGGCTGTTCTGGGTGGGTTTTGCAGCGTGGGTTTGGGCTGGGTGGTGGGGTTATGTTTCTATGCTGTGATGGGTCTTGCAGGGTCTGTTTGCTTTTTGGGTTTTTCTTTTCGCATTTCCGATTGGTCTTGCAGTCTCTATTTGCTTTTTGGGTTTTTCTTTTTGCATTTCCCATGGGTCCTGCAGTGATCGTTTGCTTTTTGGTGATTTTTTTTTTTTTTTGCATTTCCGATGGGCCTTGCAGGGTTTTTTTGCTTTTCATTTTTTTCCTTTGGCTGGAATGGATTAATCATGTTTCTGATGGGTCTTGCAGTGGCTTTTTGTTGGGGTTTTTTTTTGGAGATTTTTTTCTTCAGTTGGAATGGATTAATTGCATTTCAATGCATTCCTATAGGAAATGGTGCTTCAACTTACAACCATTTCAATTCGAGTTATGACGATCATTCCAGATTAATTTTGTAAGTCGAGGCACTACTGTATTTGGCAACTGCGGTTATTAAGCAACTGTGTAACAAAATGACAGATTAATTCTGAAAGAAGTTGGGAAGGAACCCAAACAAAGAAACAGACAAGAAACCCATTGAAGAGTAATCTTACTTTTGGATGGCACTGGCAAATTGGAGCGGACCACTTGTAATGAGTCTGCTTGCACACGAAGTAAATAAGTTTTCACAGTTTCATAATCCAGAGATTTTTTAACAGAGATAACACCTGTCCTATTATTAATAACAAACACGCCTGGAATGAAAGAACAGTTTGAGAATCTGTTAACATGGTTGAAACAGAATTGTAAGGTTTCTGCATAAAACAATGTGCTTTGAATCCCAAGACTTTCTTCCCCTATACCACCCAAAAACGGAACTCAATTTTGCATCAAAAATTGCTGGCATGTGCTGTCTGATATAGATCAGGACCTCAACAGTAAGGGAGCACATTAAAGCCCCTCTACCTACTATGTCAGTGTCCCAACCTAAATAACGTCTCCTGTACTTACTCTAGAGTAAAATGTTGGGGCCACAAATCTGCAATCTACTGTATATTCTTCAAACAGTGTCTGTTTTGGCCTTAGATTGGTTTACAAGAAAGAAGTCTACTGGTTCTGGAATGGATAAAAACTAACATGAAATAAAATGTCTGTAGTAAAATATATGTGGTTGATATATTTCTGCTTAGCATTTCACCCCCTTGTTAATAACAATATTCCAGTGTCCAATGTAAACACATTTTCAATGGTTCAGATTCAGTGAGATGTTGGAGATCAACAAATATCTCTCCTCCCTTGGAAACAGCTACAAGGTTTTTTTGGGGGGTGGGGTGAAGGAGGCAGAACCGTTTTATACACAACTGTAATGTGATTTGTACTTCAGACTACACTGGTTCCATTAAAAAAAAAGGCACCATACTATTTTATCTTAATGGGGCAAACACCAGCTGTGTGTGGGAGGGGTGAAGAGTGATTTACACAGAGAAAGCAATATACAGAAAGGTAATACCTCCTGAACACACTTGACCTTGTCTGATTTTGAAAGGTGAGGAATTTTAGGCCTGGTTAGTATTTGGCTGGGAGGCCACCAAAGAATACTGTTGATGGGCCATAGATCAAGTGGTGGAGAGATGTTTTCTATGTAGGAAACCCCAGATTTAATTCCTGCACTGTCAGGTAGGGCCAGTAATATATCCTGCCTAAATTCCAGAGATTTGCCATCAGTCAGAGTTGACAATACTGAGCTAGATGGACCAATGGTCTGGCTTACTATAAGACAGCTTCCATTTTCCCTCTATTCCTCTTTCTCCAGCTGTTCTAATTTTGAAATAGTTTGAGATCCCCACAGAAGGTCTGGTCTCTGACAACAGCTGGACTTGACAATCCATAGGGTCCCTTCTGTATCTGCAGTTCTAAGATTATTATTATTGTTGTTATAGCTTGTCTTAGTTGGCCTTTAAAATATCAGGTTTCATTTTAGTCTGCACCTCTAAGATTATTATTGTTGTTACAGCTTGTCTTAATTGGCCTTTAAAATATCAGGTTTCATTTTAAAGGATCATAACTTTTCTAATCACTATGGATTTTGACTCATTATTTGGCAGCTGTAGTTCATTTCTGTTATTTGTGTATTCTAAACTGTGACTGCAATCACACTGGCATTTGAGCATCATTTAAATTGATTTAGATTTTATCATTCACATGATACAAGGGTGATTTATATGGGCTGCAAAGCAAGCTTTTTTTCAACTAGCCAGCAGCTTTTTTAAAAATACCTCACTTCTAAAACTGATAAAATTAAATGCTGTTTTGTGGATGTGAAAGCTGCCTGCCATTTTAATTTGTGCCTATTTGGATTTTGGGCAGCAGATTCACTACCATTTTTCCTTTTAATTTTATTTTAAAAAATTCTTTCTTGAAATGTGTACCGCTGCATCACTTCATCAATACGTTCAGCGTTAGAACACCTATCCTTTAGGAATAGTGTGTTTCTAAAAAAGGAAAAAAAAAAGTTGATTTCAGCAATGTAGATGCTAAAATTGGTTTAAATCAGCAGAAATAAATTGATTTCCATTCTGTGCACGGGAACGTGGCCACTAGTTTAAATAGCATGTGACTTGAACCTGATTTTAAAACAGTCTGAACATAAATTGATTCAAATTACCAGTGTGACCACATCTGGATTTTTTAAAAAAAATCTCCAACGCAAGAAGAAAATAGTAGCTTTAATATTGCAAAATGCAGCATTTGCAAAGTTACTTCATTTCATTTACGGGTATGTCCTTTCTTGTAACCTTCCTTTAAAACATATTTTATTCATATATCAGACAAGACCACCTGGACAGTATTACTTACCATCTTCATTTCCTGAAACAATAGAATAGATAATAGTCTGATTCAAGGCAGCTGCAGTCACAACAACAACTTGAGTTCCTTTGGGTGCAGCTTCACTCACAGGAGGTGGTCTGTAGAATTGGACAAAACAGATTGTTTTTGCTCAGAATCACGTCCTCAGTACTCTGCTGATTTTCTCAATATACACAAGTCCTGCCCCCCCGCCGCCGCCCATGTTATCTTTGAGTCTGAAGTAGAAACAGAAAGCTATGTGAGAGCTGGGTCAGGTAATTTCTGCACTTAGCTGACAAGAAGGAAAAAACTGAGCATATAAAAACAAAGGAATAACAATAGCTTCTCTCATTCATTCATTCATTCATTCAAGCACTACACTGCTGCCTAAATTTACAGATGGATGGTTGAGTCACTAAGTGAATACGTAAACATTTGATTCCATTTCCCATGTGGCTTCATCTGATTATGTGTGAAAAAAAATTCAGATTTTCTCAGAGCTGCATAAAACTCTTCAACCTTTCAATTGTGGTGGCACTAATTCAATGCTGCAATTAAGACAAAGATTGATTCTGTCCTTTGCAAGAAAAGATTTCTACACAAAGAAGAGGCTGTGAGCACTAGCCCAAAGAAGCAACAATAGGCTCAACATAATGATGGACTTTGGTTGCTGGGTTTCCCCCACACACACACTTTTGCTGAACAGCTATGGCCATCTGTGAATCTTCTAGAAGTATTTGGAAGTTTCTGTTACCTAGAACTGGCCATAAAGAAATGATTGATAATACATTATTTTTTGCACTTCTGAACAATGAGAGCATTCCCAGTGTGGTGGATAGAGTTATAGGTTAAGAATCTGGAGAACAGGGTTCAAATCCCCACTTGGGCATGGAAAATCACTGGGGATGTGTAACCGGTAAAAACACTCCTTAAATATCTCACTTACCTTGAAAGCCCTATTAGGATCTCCATAAGTTGGTTCCAGCTTGACAGCACAGAACACACACATACACCTCTGAACACAAAGCCCGAATGAGGTTGGAGGATAAGGAAATGTTGGACTTATTTCACCTTTCTCCAACACTCTGCATCCCCTGAGACTTATGTGAATGAGCCCTTAGACAGTTGAATGAGGTTGGAGGATAAAGAAATGCTGCATTTATTTCACCTTTCTCCATCACTCTGCATCCCCTGAGACTTATGTGAATCAAAATATCAGTCCTGATAATTCTGTAAATGTCCATGACAAGTGTGCAAGTATTATCTCATTGCTCCTGTTTGATGTATTGGGACAGTTCTCATTTTACTTTTTTATTCTCAGTCCACGTAGTTATGGGTAAAATGCATCTATAGTTCCATAAATGTAGAGTTGCAGCTCACATGTCTAAAAACAAAATGCAGTATTGAAGGATGTGCATGCAAATCTGCAATTTAGGCATTGTTGTTGGCTACCTGCCATCAAGTTGCTTCTGATTGATAGTAACTCTGTGAATTAGTAACCGAAAGGTCTTGTCATTGACAGATCTGCTCAAATTTTGCAGACTCAAGAACATGGTTTTTGTTATTGAGTCAACTCATCTCACAGTTAGTCTTCCTTTTTCACTGCTGCTTTAACTCTCCCCATAATTACGTTTTTTTCTCATGAGCCTTGTGTTCCCATAATATGACCAAAGTATAATAGTCTCTGTTGAATCATTTTCACTTCTAGAGAGCTCAAGCTTCATTTGATCTAGCAGTTATGTGTCATCAAGTCAGAGCCAATATATAATGACCCTAATAAGGCTCTCAATGTGAGATATTTAAGAAGTGGTTTTACTGGTTCCATTCCCCCAGTGAGTTTCCATGGCCAAGAGGGAATTTGAACCCTGGTCTCCAAAGTCCTAGTCTGTCACTGTTTCTACTACATGATATTGAGTATCTTCATTTGTATCTTCTTCAAATTTGCCTTTCTAGCGGTCCATGGTATTGGTATGACATTGAGTATCTTCATTTGATCTCACACCCACATATTTGCCTTTCTAGCGGTCCATGGTATTGGTCCATGATAATTGTGAAGCTTGCCATCTACTCCACATTTCCAATAAGTAGATTCTTTTCTTGCCAACTTTCGTTACTGTCCAGATTTCACATTCACACATAGTAACGGGAAATACCATAGTTCTACCTTGCTGTTTTAAGGACCTGTTGTGTAGAGTCTTCCCATATCTGTGCTTCTAAAATGAAGCACAGATATGGAAAAAAGATTTTTTTAAAAAGGTAGTGTGTGTTTTCAAAAGACCCTTCTTTTGCTCCTGGCCTGCTGCCCTATTACTACTTTTAGCACTTCCTTCTCTCTCTCTCTCTTTCTCCCTCTCCTTTTAGCACTTCCTTCTCTCTCTTCCTCTTTCTCCCTCTGTTTTTAAAGTAAGCTGTCTGTTACTCTTGATGTGACATTGCTGAATTCTATGGACTGAGAAATCAATATCAATTAGGAGGATCTTTTTTGTTCAGTTTGGGAGAATGTGAGGGAATTGCATAGGGAAACATCCAAATTCATGTTCTTTGAGACTTTATAGTAATTGTGTTTTATTGATTTCGCTTTCTTGAGTTAACTAATGAAATCAGGTTCAAAAATAATGCATTGGATCAGTGAAAACATGCTGTTGGTCTATTAAAAAACTTTTGTTCAACACTATTGGTAAATTGATACAAAAATGTGTAAAAGGATCCATCTGTTAATCTCTTACTATGCTTATCTCATATATTTTAGCACAGGGGGCATTTCTTTTTAAAAAAATAAATAAAAGTCTGGTTATTAAGGACAATCCTGTTTCCTAACAAGAGAGCAGGCCCTCTGCAAGTACTGACAGGGTTCCATGTGTACAAAATGGCAGCAGGACCATATCCCAGGGACCATCCTGCAACTCATTTGCCCATCCTGCAACACCCATTCAGTATATATATCCCCCTGCTTAAGAGATGCATATGGACATCTATGTTTGTAAGAACTCATGAAACCTGGATCCCACAAATATCAGAGTTCTGCATTGGACTTAATATTATCTATTCTGATGAAGACCTTACCCAATTAGAAATATGTTTAGTTGGAGTAGCCAAATATTTTTCCAAGGAAAAATACTAAGATTTGAATCCAGGGTGAGAAGAGCAAATTCAATACACCAGCCTCTGTTCCACTCTCTTTCTTACTTTATATTTCTCTTACAGTGGTGCCCCGCATAGCGACAATAATCCGTGCAGCAAAAATTGTCACTATACAGATTAGTCACTGTGCGGATTCAAAAAGCCCATAGGAATGCATTGAAACCCCTTCAATGCATTCCTATGGGCTTAAAATTTACCTTTTAAGCGGAAATCCTCCATACGGCGGCCATTTTGGGTGCCCGGTAAGCGAGGAATCCATCCCTGTTTTACCCGGCAGCCATTTTGGAACCGCCGGTCAGCTGGGGAAAAAACATTGTTATGCGATAATTGGTAAGCGAAACAGCTTACCAATCATTGCAAAGCGATTTCCCCCATAGAAAACATCGTTATGCGATCACAAAAACATTGTCGCTATGCGGATTCATCGTTAAACGGGGCACCCGTTATGCGAGGCACCACTGTATTTTGTATTATTAGTATAATCAGCCAAGCTGATGTCCAAGTTGGATTTCAAAAAGGAAGAGGCTCTTGAGATCACATTCCAAATATTTGCTGGCTACTGGAGAGAACAAAAGAAATTCAGAAGAAGATCAGTCTATGCTTTATAGATTACAGCAGATTATGAGAAACTATGCAGATTATGAGAAACTATGGTTTCTGAAATAAATGGATGTGCCTCAACACTTGACTGTCCTGATGTGTAACTTGTATTGTGGACAAGAAGCTACCATTACAATAGAAAATGGAGAAACAGCACAGTTTCCTATAGGCAAAGGTGTCAGACAAGGGTGCATTTTATCCCCTTATCTGTTCAATCTGTATGTAGAAATGTCAGACTGGATTCAAATGAAGGAGAAGTGAAAATTAGTAGAAGAAGCATCAATAATTGAAGATATGCAGATGACGCCATCTTACTGGCAGAAAGCAGCAAAGACTTGAAATGATTTGCTCGGGAAAGTGAAAGAAGTGACAAAGCAGGATTGCAGTTAAATGTTAAGAATTAGTATAATCAGCCAAGCTGATGTCCAAGTTGGATTTCAAAAAGGAAGAGGCTCTTGAGATCACATTCCAAATATTTGCTGGCTACTGGAGAGAACAAAAGAAATTCAGAAGAAGATCAGTCTATGCTTTATAGATTACAGCAGATTATGAGAAACTATGCAGATTATGAGAAACTATGGTTTCTGAAATAAATGGATGTGCCTCAACACTTGACTGTCCTGATGTGTAACTTGTATTGTGGACAAGAAGCTACCATTACAATAGAAAATGGAGAAACAGCACAGTTTCCTATAGGCAAAGGTGTCAGACAAGGGTGCATTTTATCCCTTTATCTGTTCAATCTGTATGTAGAAATGTTATACAGAAAGCCAGACTGGATTCAAATGAAGGAGAAGTGAAAATTAGTAGAAGAAGCATCAATAATTGAAGATATGCAGATGACGCCATCTTACTGGCAGAAAGCAGCAAAGACTTGAAATGATTTGCTCGGGAAAGTGAAAGAAGTGACAAAGCAGGATTGCAGTTAAATGTTAAGACAACAATTGTGACTACAGAAGAACTACACAACTTTAACACTGACAATGAAGACATTGAAATAGTTAGAGATTTTGTATACCTTGGTTCAGTCATCAATTCAAATGTGTCCTGCAGCCTAGGAATCAGGAGAAGATTGAGACTAGGAAAGGCAGCAATGGAGCCACTAGAAAAGATGTGTCATTGGAGATCAAGACCAAAAATCCACTCTTGTTATTTCTGAACATCAAGTATGGGTGTGAATTCTGACAGTTAAAGCTGGCAGGAATAAAATTGATTCCTTTGAAATGTGATGCTGGAGAAGACCTTTGGAGATACCCAGGACTGCCAGAAATACAAACAAGTGAGTCTTAGATGAAATCAAGCCTGAACTATAGTCTTAGATGAAATTTGGAGACAAAAATGTTGAAACTGAGGCTGTCCTACTTTGGGCACATCATAA